AGACCCGGATCACCTCATCTCCAATCCATCGCAAAGTTGTTTAGTAGCAGAACAGAATATGGTCCACTTCAGGTTGTCGCCATGTTGGAAGTGCGATCCAGTCTAAAGCTGGAGTATTGAACTAAACTTCATGGAAGTCAGAAAATTGGTTTTTTCCAGAAGAGGTCCAAATCGCATTTTTGTGCGATGACTCAGATCCTTCACATCACAGCCCCCCCACTCTTGTATCTCAATCCCATTCTTACATATTGATGTATTACACACTGGTCCTCGGCACCCCCCTGCCCAGGTTTTCACAATAGTGTTCTCATCACCCCCCCCATCCCATTGACAGCAGCCTGCTGAACCCCCCCCCCCCCCCCCTTCACATCACAGTTCCCTTCATTCACAGTAGTGTCCTCTGTCCCCCTTCACGTCACCTCCCTCCCCCCCAGCAGCGTCCTCCGTCTCCATTTACATCAACACCCCCCAACAATTTTGTCTGTCCCCCCTTCACATCACTCCCCCTCAACAGTAGTGTCCTCTGTCCCATATTCACATCAACCCCCCCCCCCCCCCCCCTAAGTGTCCTCTTCCTCCCTTCACATCAACACCCCCAACAGTAATGTCTTCTGTCCCCCTTCACATCACCCCCCCCCCCCCAACAGTAGTGTCCTCTGTCCCCTATTCATATCAACTCCCCTCATAGTAGTGCAAGACTGCCCCCTTCACATCAACACCCCCCAACAGTAGTGCCCCCTTCACATCAACAGCCCCCCCAACAGCAGTGCCCCCTGCCCCCCTTCACATCAACACCCCCCAACAGTAGTGCCCCCTTCACATCAACAGCCCCCCCAACAGAAGTGCCCCCTGCCCCCCTTTACATCAACACCCCTCAACAGTAGTGTCTTCTGTCCCCCTTCACATCACTCCCCCCCCCAACATAGTGTCCTCTGTCCCCCTATTCATATCAAACCCCCCCCATAGTAGTGCAAGACCACCCCCTTCACATCAACACCCCCAAACAGTAGTGCCCCCTTCACATCAACACCCCCCCCCCTCAACAGAAGTGCCCCCTGCCCCCCTTCACATCAACACCCCCCAACAGTAGTGCCCCCTTCACATCAACAGCCCCCCCAACAGAAGTGCCCCCTGCCCCCCTTTACATCAACACCCCTCAACAGTAGTGTCTTCTGTCCCCCTTCACATCACTGGACTCCCCCCCCAACATAGTGTCCTCTGTCCCCTATTCATATCAACCCCCCCCATAGTAGTGCAAGACCACCCCCTTCACATCAACACCCCCAAACAGTAGTGCCCCCCTTCACATCAACACCCCCCCTCAACAGAAGTGCCCCCCCCCTGCCCCCCTTCACATCAACACCCCCCAACAGTAGTGTTTTCTGTCCCCCTTCACATCACTCCCCCCCCCCCCCCCCCAACATAGTGTCCTCTGTCCCCTATTCATATCAACTCCCCCCATAGTAGTGCAAGACTGCCCCCTTCACATCAACACCCCCCAACAATAGTGCCCCCTTCACATCAACAGCCCCCCCAACAGAAGTGCCCCCTGCCCCCCTTCACATCAACACCCCTCAACAGTAGTGTCTTCTGTCCCCCTTCACATCAACAACCCCCCCCCAACAATAGTGTTCTTTGCCCCCCTTCATATCACCCTCTTCCCCCACAGTGTCCTCCACCCCTTAGAGGGACACACAGCAGAGTAGATGGAGGGGGGGAGCAGGAGCCGCTAGAGCTAAATTTTTTTTATTATTAGGCTGAAAAGACCTCCCGCTCCTGCCCTCCATCCGGAGCTGTTATGCCTCTCGCTCTCTGATCTGCTCTGACAATGACAATGGGAAAAGAACTGGCCCATAAATGGTGACTATCATGGTCCAGATCCAGACCGCGGTCCACCATTTAGAGATTCCTGGTCTAATGTTTTTCTGTCTACCAATGAGTGATACTAGAGACGGCATGGCCATGTGCTGAATTGTATGCACCTGGATTTAGAGTTGGACATCCACTAAGCTCCTATGTGGGATTGTCGCGTACCTGACTGTGGAGACTGATATGATAAGGGGGGCCTCTTGTGCAATTCCCATCCAAGCACCCCTGGTAGTGGAGACAGGGACTGCTGGGGCAGTGGAAGGGCGCAGGTGCCAGGAAACTGGAGTGGTGAACTTGAGCTCGGAAACACCGGAGTCCTTCCAGTAGTAGTATGGAGTCGGATCAGAAGCCAGCCAAACAGGTGCCTGGTCAGGATCAAGGTCAGGAATGGGAACATGGTGAAGGGCCAAGTCAGGAGACAGAATTGTGTTCAGAAGTCCAAGCCGTGGTCAAATACACAGGTGGGCAGCAGACATAACAGGCAAGGGTGATGTGGCATGGGTGTCATGAACAAGGTAAGTAGACTTTCAGGGAACTCGAGATACAGGAACCAGAGCTTGAGACAATCCAGCACTGGGGCTAGGCAGGCCTTGGGTATAAATAGGCTGCTGTGGCCCGCACATGTATGCACCATGGCCCTTGTGTGGCATCCTTGTCCTTGGACCTCTAGCCAGGCTCATGACCCTTCACACACACATGAAAAGGAGTAGTCCCTGCTCATGGGAATCAGCACTTCCTCCACAAAATCCCTGCCAGTGATGGGAGTCCACAAACCAGTATGTATGACATTTCACAACTCTTGTTGAGGACCCTACAGAGACCCCGCCATGACTGTAGATCCAAAACTGGCCGTTCCCTGCAATAGCTGAACATTTTATATCTTTAGAGACCAGACATACCTGACTTCTCTGCTCACCTGAATGTTCTTTGTGGTTTCCGGTACAAATCCATTTGTGTTTTGGGCTTCTGTAGACAGATATACACTATATTTCCAAAAGTATTGATCCACCGACGTTTCCACACACATGACCTTTAATGGCCCCCCAGTCTTAGTCCGTAGGGTTTAATATTGAGTTGGCCCCGCCCTTTCCACACACATGACCTTTATTGGCCCCCCAGTCTTAGTCCGTAGGGTTTAATATTGAGTTGGCCCCGCCCTTTCCACACACATGACCTTTATTGGCCCCCCAGTCTTAGTCCGTAGGGTTTAATATTGAGTTGGCCCCGCCCTTTCCACACACATGACCTTTATTGGCCCCCCAGTCTTAGTCCGTAGGGTTCAATATTGAGTTGGCCCCGCCCTTTCCACACACATGACCTTTATTGGCCCCCCAGTCTTAGTCCGTAGGGTTCAATATTGAGTTGGCCCCGCCCTTTCCACACACATGACCTTTATTGGCCCCCCAGTCTTAGTCCGTAGGGTTCAATATTGAGTTGGCCCCGCCCTTTCCACACACATGACCTTTAATGGCCCCCCAGTCTTAGTCCGTAGGGTTCAATATTGAGTTGGGCCCGCCCTTTCCACACACATGACCTTTAATGGCCCCCCAGTCTTAGTCCGTAGGGTTTAATATTGAGTTGGCCCCGCCCTTTCCACACACATGACCTTTATTGGCCCCCCAGTCTTAGTCCGTAGGGTTCAATATTGAGTTGGCCCCGCCCTTTCCACGCACATGACCTTTATTGGCCCCCCAGTCTTAGTCCGTAGGGTTCAATATTGAGTTGGCCCCGCCCTTTCCACGCACATGACCTTTAATGGCCCCCCAGTCTTAGTCCGTAGGGTTCAATATTGAGTTGGCCCCGCCCTTTCCACGCACATGACCTTTAATGGCCCCCCAGTCTTAGTCCGTAGGGTTCAATATTGAGTTGGCCCCGCCCTTTCCACGCACATGACCTTTAATAGCCCCCCAGTCTTAGTCCGTAGGGTTCAATATTGAGTTGACCCCCACCCTTTCCACGCACATGACCTTTAATAGCCCCCCAGTCTTAGCCCGTAGGGTTCAATATTGAGTTGGCCCCGCCCTTTGCAGCTATAACAGCTTCAACTCTTCTGGGAAGGCCCCCCACAAGGTTTAGGAGGTGTCTCTGGGAAGGTTGGACCATTCTTCCAGAAGCACATTTGTCAGGTCAGGCACTGATGTCGGGGGAGGGGCACTGATGTCGGGGGAGGGGCACTGATGTCGGGGGAGGAGGCCTGGCTCGCAGTCTCCGCTCTAATTCATCCCAAAGGTGTTCTATGGGGTTGAGGTCAGGACTCTGTGCAGGACAGTCAAGTTCCTCCACCCCCCAAACTGGCTCCTCCATGTCTTTATGGACCTTGTTTTGTGCACTGGTGCGCAGTCATGTTGGAACAGGAAGGGCCATCCCCAAACTCTTCCCACAAAGTTGGGGGCATGAAATTGTCCAGAATGTTCCCCTTAAGAGTTCCCTTCACTGGAACTAGGGGGCCAAGCCCAACCCCTGAGGAAAAACCACCCCACACCATAATCCCTCCTCCACCAAACTTTACACTTGGCACAATGCAGTCAGGCAAGTACTGTTCTCCTGGCAGCCGCCAAACCCAGACACGTCCATCGGATTGCCAGACAGAGAAGCATGATTGGTCACTCCAGAGAACAAGTCTCCTCTGCTCTAGAGTCCAGTGGCGGCGTGCTTTACACCACGGCATCCGACGCTTTGCATTGCACTTGGTGATGGAAGGCTTGATGCAGCTGCTCTGCCATGGAAACCCATTCCATGAAGCTCTCTACGCACTGTTGTTGGGCTCATCTGAAGGCCACACCAAGTTTGGAGGTCTTTAGCTATTGACTCTGCAGACAGTTGGTGACTTCTGCGCACTGTGCGCTTCAGCATGCGCTGACCCCGCCCTGTCATGTGACGTGGCCTACCACTTGGTGGCTGAGAGTGGCTGTTGCTCCCAGTTAGCTTCCACTTTGTTATAATCCCACTAACAGTTGAGCGTGGAATATTTAGTAGCCAGGAAATGTCATGGATGGACTTATTGCCCAGATGACCACCTATCACGGGACCACGCTTGGAGTCACTGAGCTCCTGAGAGCGACCCATTCTTTCACCAATGTTTGTAGAAGCCGTCTGCATGTCTAGGGGCTTGATTGTATACACCTGTGTCCATGGAGGGGATTGGAACACCTGAATCACATGATATGGAGGGGATTGGAACACCTGAATCACATGATATGGAGGGGATTGGAGCACCTGAATCACATGATTGGGAGGGGATTGAAACACCTGGATCACATGATATGGAGGGGATCGGAACACCTGAATCACAGGATATGGAGGGGATTGGAACACCTGGATCACATGATATGGAGGGGATTGGAACACCTGAATCACATGATATGGAGGGGATTGGAGCACCTGAATCACATGATATGGGGCAGGGCCAATACTTGGGGCAAATATAGTGTATGTAAGTTTATGAATTCTGCGTTCACAGACAGAACTAATCAAACATCCCAATAAACACAACCCAGCAGGCGCTTTGCTTGCAGTGAGCAGATCACAATGAGAAACGCACAGTAATGCATCTGATGAAAGGTGAAGCCGGTCCTTTCATAGGATGAAACTAATCCCCCCCCACCCCCCACACAGTCTGCCCCTATGGAGTGTTTATATTGTCCCTTATAACTGCCTCTGGGGTATTAAGGAGCGCCAAGTGCAAATGTTTATGATGCGCAGAGGGCAAATCAAAATGTTTATTGAACAAAGGTAATGGAGAAAGCCAATGCGATTCGGGGTAAATGCCCCCCCCCCCCTTCCTCAGGACTAGTGTGCTGAAAATGTGGAATATGACATAAAACTCATAAAAATGATCCTGGCTTGTAGTTCTCAATAGAAAAGACAATGACTTGTTGCAGCTTCTAATGCACATTGTGAGACGCTCCCAGTGTGCAGGTGACATCAGAGGAAGCCAGTCCAGGGAGGAGCCGATACAACTGTGCAAGACTGAAGGAGGAGCTGATACACCTGTGCAAGACTGAAGGGGAGGAGCCAGTACAACTGTGCAAGCCTGAAGAGGAGGAGCCAGTACACCTGTGCAAGACTGAAGGGGAGGAGTCGGTGTACCTGTGCAAGACCTGAAGGGGAGGAGTCGGTGTACCTGTGCAAGACTGAAGGGGAGGAGCCAGTACACCTGTGCAAGACTGAAGGGGAGGAGCTAGTACACCTGTGCAAGACTGAAGGGGAGGAGTCGGTGTACCTGTGCAAGACTGAAGGGGAGGAGCCAGTACACCTGTGCAAAACTGAAGGGGAGAGCTAGGACACCTGTGCAAGACTGAAGGGGAGGAGCCGGTACATCTGTGCAAGACTGAAGGGAGGAGCCGATACACCTGTGCAAGACTGAAGGGGAGGAGCCAGTACAACTGTGCAAGCCTCAAGGGGAGGAGCCAATACACCTGTGCAAGGCTGAAGGGGAGGAGTCGGTGCACCTGTGCAAGACTGAAGGGGAGGAGCCGGTACCCCTGTGCCAGACTGAAGGGGAGGAGCCGGTACACCTGTGTCAAACTGAAAGGGGACTGGAGGAGCTGGTACACCAGTGCAAGACTTAAGGGAGGGGCTGGAATACCTGTGCAAGACTAAAGGGGAGGAGCCAGACACCTGTATAACACTGAAGGGGTGGAGCTGGTGCACCTGTGCAAGACTGAAGGGAGGGGTCAGTACACCTGTGTAAGACTAAAGGGAGGAGCAAGACACCTGTATAAGACTGAAGGGGAGGAGCCAGTGTACCTGTGCGAGACTGGAGGGGAGGAGCCACTACACCTGTGGAAGACTGAAGGGGAGGAGTCGGTACTCCTGTGCAAGACTGAAGGGGAGGAGCTGCTTAATACCTGTGGCAAGACTGAAGGGGAGGAGCCGGTACACCTGTGTATGATTGGAGGGACAGCCGGGGGTCAGCCAAAAAAAGTTGCATCGTCCCCCCAAAATAATTATATATGTATTTCTTCCGTTTCCTAAGTAATGGCGGCTCTCATAGAATCGGTCATTAACAATTCAAAGTTTATAATTTATAAAAAAAATAATACAGGGAATGGGGAGGGTAAAATAAAGTTGGTGCAAAAAAGGTAAAGTGGTCGTTTTTCACTCATAAGCTGCACAAACTATTGGCGCTCTCTGGATCCTGAATAACAATAATAATATTAGAAATCCTGTATAAAGTAATAATAACAGCGGCTGAGTGGTTGGCACTTCCCCCTGGCAGTACTCAGGTCAATGGTTCAAATACCAACCAAGGCACCACCTGCCTGGAGTTTGCATGTTCTCCCTGTGCCTGCGTGGGTTTCCTCCGGGTACTCCGGTTTCCCTCCTACATTCCAAAGACATGCTGGGAGGATAATTGTCTCCTGTCTAAATTGGCCCTAGTATGTGTATGTATGATGGGAGTTAGGGACCTTAGATTGTACGCTCCTCGAGGGCGCGGGGACTGATGTGAATGTACAATATATATGTAAAGCGCAGAGTACATTGATGGTGCTATATACAGTTGTGTTGAAAATACTAGCCGTCAGACATCACTAACCGGATCAAATCGCTGTTTTTGGTGGAAATGATATTTCTACATGGCAGATAATTTCCTAGCAGGTGTAGTAGAGTCATAGAAATCCAACAGACCCGACAGTCATGACATGCATGCTGCTGATTCTGTGTCATTGGATCACTCATTGAAAGGGGCGTGTTCACAATAATAGCCGTGTGGAGTTCTATTAGTGACGTCATTCATTCTTTGGTGGCAATTATTGCCCTTATTGAAGGAAGGAAGGCAGCAAATGTTGGACATGCTGGTTACAGTGCATTTCTCTCTGAAATTCTGAGGAAAATGGGTCGTTCCAGACATTGTTCAGAAGAACAGCGTACCTTGATTAAAAAGTTGATTGGAGGGGAAAACATATAAAGAAGTGCAGAAAATGATCGGCTGCTCAGCTAAAATGATGGCAAATGCTTTAAAATGGCAACCAAAACCTGAAAGACGTGGAAGAAAGCGAAAAACTACCATTGGAATGGATAGAATAGCCAAAATGGGGCGGACTCAGCCAACAATCAGCTCCAGGAAGATGAAAGAAGGTGTGACGTTCCCTGTGAGGACTCAGCCAACAATCAGCTCCAGGAAGATGAAAGAAGGTGTGACGTTCCCTGTGAGTACTGTTACAATTAGAAGATGCCGATGTGAAGCCAAGCTATCTGCAAGAAGTCCCCGCAAAGTCCCACTGTTGGGAAAAAGACGTGTGCTGAAGAGGGTACAATCTGCCAAAGAGCACATTGACCGGCCTAAAGAGAAATGGGGCAACATTTTGTGGACTGATGAAAGTAAGATTGTTCTTTTTGGGTCTAGTGGGCGGAGACAGTTTGTCAGACGACCCCCAAACACTGAATTCAAGCCACAGTACACTGTGAAGACCGTGAAGCATGGTGGTGCAAGCATCATGATATGGGGATGTTCCTCATACTACGGTGTTGGGCCTATTTATCGCATACCAGGGATCAGGGATCAGTTTGAATCCATCAGAATACTTGAAGAGGTCATGCTGCCTTATGCTGAAGAGGAAATGCCCTTGAAATGGGGGTTCCAAAAAGACAACGACCCCAAACACACCAGTAAACGTGCAACATCTTGGTTCCAGACCAACAAGATGGACGTTACGGAGTGGCCAGCCCAATACCCGGATCTTAATCCAATAGAAAACTTGTGGGGTGACATCAAAAATGCCGTTTCTGAGGCCAAACCAAGAAATAGAGAAGAAGTGTGGAATGTGGTCCAATCATCCTGGGCTGGAATACCTGATCACAGGGCCAGAAGTTGGGGGACTCCATGCAACACAGATGTACAGCAGTTCTCAGAAACAGTGCGACTACAACCAAATATTCATGAAGTCATTCAAAGGAAAGCAAAATCTTCAAACATTTCTCAGTTTATATAGTGAATGTTGGAGTTTGTAAAGAAGAATACAAACACGGCCATTTTTTGAACCGTCTAATATTCACTTTTCTTCCATTTTTTTTAGAGGAACAACACAAATTTGATGTATTTTTCTTCATGTTGTGATTTGGAATAGAATGTGTCGTGTTCCCAATGCATTTGTGTGGATGGAAAGAAAAGGATTAGAAGGATTTTCAGCTTTACTCACTTTTATCATCACACGGATATTATTCTGAACACAACTGTATGTACCTGAAAAAATAACAATAATCTCTGGCGGGTCTATCATACACAGAACGGACACTAGATGGCGGTGCACAGCACACATGTCATACACAGAACGGACACTAGATGGCGGTGCACAGCACACGTCATACACAGAACGGACACTAGATGGCGGTGCAGAGAGGGAAGAGGTTTGTCCTGCGCTGGGCCCCGTCGTCTGGCCAGGAGGGGAAGTACTGGAATTCAGAACTCTCCAAGATTCCTCGCTGACTCCTCCAGAGACATGGCCACCAAGACAGCGCTGGTGATCCTGGCCAAGGGAGCCGAGGAGATGGAGGCCATCATCCCCATTGATCTGATGAGGATTGCCGGGGTGAGTATTGGTATCAGGACAGAGATCTTCCAGGAGAGCTCCAGGAACTGCACCCCCCTTTCCCAGGCTTCTTCTGAATCCCCCCCCTCCCCCCCACAGGCTTCTTCTGGATCCACACCCTCCGCCCCCCCCAGGCTTCTTCTGGATCCCACGCCCTCCCCCTTCCCCCCAGGCTTCTGGATCCACACACCCCCTGGCTTCTTCTGGATCCACACCTTCCCTCCCCCCCAGGCTTCTTCTGGATGCACACCCTGCCCTCCCCCCCAGCCTTCTGGATACACACACCCCCTGGCTTCTTCTGGATCCACAACCTCCCCCCCCCCAGGCTTCTTCTGGACCCACTATACAGATCATTGCAGAAGTTCCCCTAAACCCGATATATGACCAATAAGCTGACAATGTGCATCACCCAGAGATCTCAGGGATCTGCACCTCTCCCTCTAGCAGGGGCGGACTGAACATTTGGAAACTTGGGCACTGCCCGAGGGCCCGGGTTCAGTAGGGGGCCCCATGAGATGCCCCTGGTACCTTTTTCATAGGCTTTTTTGAGTTTGGGCAAGGACACGGGCCCCATGATCCCCTATTGCCTGGGGGCCCCATGAGTTGTCAGTCTGCCCCTGCCATCTAGTATAGACTTACTGTGGATCCACCATGCAGAATGCATCACCCAGAGATCTCATGGATCTGCACCCTCTCCCCTCCCCCCCCCCCCCAGGGTGCAGAGTTAAGGAGTGAGTTGTGTACAGAGTGCAGGGCTCAGGAATGTATATCTCAGGGGCCAGTTTACAACCCCCCCCTTCTAGTACCGGGCCCTCCCCCCACCTACAGAGTATTAGAGGGAGGGGCTGCTGCAGAAGAGAAGCTACAATTTACAGTAGGAGTGCAATGTTCAGTGGGGGGCATTGGTGCTAAATGGGGGGAGGGGGCAATGTGTTAATTTCTATTGTGGGGGAGGGGGGCATAGGGGTTTAGTGGGGGGAGGGAGGAAAATTGGAGATAATTGGGGGGGAGGAGGGGGCATTGAGGATAAGTGGGTAATGGGGGGGGTGATGCTTTGGATGGGCACCTATGTGACTGTACTGCCCATGCTGGGTGCAACGTGGGGGGGGCATGAATACCATACATTGGATGACGAGCGATGTTTGCCGGAGATTGGAGTCCTGGACCGCATTCTGTGTTCCATGTACTCAGAATGGCAACTGAAGGAAACATCTTCACCCCCCCCCCCCCCCCCCCCATCTCCTGTGCTGGGCAGTGGGGTTTGTGCTGCCGAAATATCTGCTTTTTTCTTCAGCTTCTGTTGGCACCGGAAGAGCCCACACAGGGCTGAATGTACAACAAAACTTCTTGCCCCGCACCCAGAACTACATATCCCGAGAATCGGGCGATAAGAATTACATCCCTGAACAATCTCTGATGGTCTGCAGTCTGTGCATTGTGTAATATATAGAACGGACACTAGATGGCGGTGCACAGCACACACGTCATACACAGTATGGACACTAGATGGCGGTGTAGAGTGCAGGGAAGAGGTTTATCCTGTGCTGGGCCCCGTCGTCTGGCCAGCAGGGGAGTGCTGGAGGCCGGAGTAGCGGCAGGATGAGTATTCCCTGAACCAACTGCGCATGTGCACGCTTAAGGAACGACAAGCCGATCACCGAACTATTGAAGCGGAACATTACCTGAGTTACATTAACACCTTACGTGCCAAATTCTCTGCAGCGACATCGGGCAGCACGGGGGGGGGGGCCGTCAGTGATAGTGACGTCCTCTCTCAGATCCGTTATGCTCCCCATTCCGGAGATCCGGTCCATCTTGCGGGGATCGTCGGCTTGCAGCTTGTTAGGGGTTAACTGTGGCAGCGCTGTACTAAACTCGGACATCGGCTTCTTCGCCTGAAACCGGCACATGCGCAGTCGCTTCAGGGACACTCCGCCATTCTCCGCTGACTCCTCCAGAGACATGGCCGCCAAGAGAGCGCTGGTGATCCTGGCCAAGGGAGCCGAGGAGATGGAGACCGTCATCCCCACCGACCTGATGAGGAGGGCCGGGTGAGGACTGAGATCTCCCGGAAGAGCAAAGGGATCCCCTTCTCTCTCCCCCCCCCTCTTCTCCCCCTCCCCCCCCCCTCTTCTCCCCCTCCCCCCCCCCCCTCTTCTCCCCCTCCCCCCCCCCCCTTCTTCCTCCCCCTCCCCCCCCCTCTTCTCCCCCTCCCCCCCCCTCTTCTCCCCCTCCCCCCCCCCTTCTCTTCTCCCCCACCCCCCCCCCCTCCTTCTCCCCCTACCCCCCCCCTCTTCTCCCCCTCCCCCCCCCCTCTTCTCCCCCCCCCCTCTCCCCTCCCCCCCCCCTCTTCTCCCCCTACCCCCCCCCCCCCTCTTCTCCCCCTACCCCCCCCCCCCCCCTCTTCTCCCCCTCCCCCCTCTTCTCCCCCTCCTCCCCCCCCCCCTCTTCTCCCCCTCCTCCCCCCCCCTCTTCTCCCCCTCCTCCCCCCCCCTCTTCTCCCCCTCTTCTCCCCCCTCCCCTCTTTCTCCCCCTCCCCTCTTCTCCCCCTCCCCTCTTCTTCTCCCCCCCCCTCTTCTCCCCCCCTCCCCCCTCTCTCCCCCCTCTTCTCTTCTCCCCCCCCTCTTCTCCCCCCCCCTCTTCTCCCCCCCCCTCTTCTCCCCCTCCTCCCCCCCCTCCTCCCCTCCCCCTCCTCCCCCCCCCCCTACTCTCCCCCTCCTCCCCCCCCCCTCTTCTCCCCCTCCTCCCCCCCCCCCCTCTCTCCCCCCTCCTCCCCCCCCCTCTTCTCCCCCTCCTCCCCCCCCCCCCCTCTTCTCCCCCTCCTCCCCCCCCGTCCTCTCTCTCCCTCCTCCCCCCCGGTCTCTCTCTCTCCTCCCTCCCGGTCTCGCTCTCCTCCCCCCCCCGTCTCGCTCTCCTCCCCCCCCCCCGTCTCGCTCTCCTCCCCCCCCCCCCCGTCTCGCTCTCCTCCCCCCCCCCCCCGTCTCGCTCTCCTCCCCCCCCCCCCCCCCGTCTCGCTCTCCTCCCCCCCCCCCCCCCGCTCTCTCGCTCCTCCTCCCCCCCCCCCCCGTCTCGCTCTCCCTCCTCCCCCCCCCCGTCTCGCTCTCCTCCCCCCCCCCCCCCCGTCTCGCTCTCCTCCCCCCCCCCCCGTCTCGCTCTCCTCCCCCCCCCCCCCCCCCCCGTCTCGCTCCTCCTCCCCCCCCCCCCCGTCTCGCTCTCCCCCCCCCCCCCCCCGTCTCGCTCTCCTCCCCCCCCCCCCCGTCTCGCTCTCCTCCCCCCCCCCCCCCCGTCTCGCTCTCCTCCCCCCCCCCCCGTCCGTCTCGCTCTCCTCCCCCCCCGTCCCCCGTCCGTCCGTCTCGCTCTCCTCCCCCCCCCCCCCATCTCTCGCTCTCCTCCCCCCCCCCCCCATCTCGCTCTCCTCCCCCCCCCCCCCCCCCGTCTCGCTCTCCTCCCCCCCCCCCCCCCCCGTCTCGCTCTCCTCCCCCCCCCCGTCTCGCTCTCCTCCCCCCCCCCGTCTCGCTCTCCTCTCCCCCCCCCGTCTCGCTCTCCTCCCCCCCCCCGTCTCGCTCTCCTCCCCCCCCCCCCCCCCCGTCTCGCTACCTCGCTCCTCTCCCCCCCCCCCCCGTCTCGCTCTCCCCCCCCCCCCCCCCCGTCTCGCTCTCCTCCCCCCCCCCCCCGTCTCGCTCTCCCCCCCCCCCCCCCGTCTCGCTCTCCTCCCCCCCCCCCCCCCCCCCGTCCGTCCGTCTCGCTCTCCTCCCCCTCCCCCCCCCCCCGTCCGTCTCGCTCTCCTCCCCCCCCCCCCGTCTCGCTCTCCTCCCCCCCCCCCCCCGTCTCGCTCCTCCTCCCCCCCCCCCCGTCTCGCTCTCCTCCCCCCCCCCCCCCCGTCTCGCTCTCCTCCCCCCCCCCCCCCCCCCGTCCGTCCGTCTCGCTCTCCTCCCCCCCCCCCCCCCCCCCCCCCCCGTCCGTCCGTCTCTCGCTCTCCTCTCCCCCCCCCCCCCCCGTCCGTCCGTCTCGCTCTCCTCCCCCCCCCCCCCCCCCCGTCCGTCCGTCTCGCTCTCCTCCCCCCCCCCCCCCCCGTCCGTCCGTCTCGCTCCCCCCCCCCCCCCCCGTCCGTCCTCGCTCTCCTCCCCCCCCCCCCCGTCCGTCAGAACCCCGTCTCGCTCTCCTCCCCCCCCCCCCCCCCCCGTCCGTCCGTCTCGCTCTCCTCCTCCCCCCCCCCCCCCCCCCCGTCCGTCTCGCTCTCCTCCCCCCCCCCCCCCCCGTCCGTCCGTCCGTCTCGCTCTCCTCCTCCCCCCCCCCCCCCCCCCGTCCGTCTCGCTCTCCTCCCCGTCCGTCCGTCTCGCTCTCCTCCCCCCCTGTCCGTCCGTCCCGTCTCGCTCTCCTCCCCCCCCCCCCCCCCCGTCCGTCCGTCTCGCTCTCCTCCCCCCCCCGTCCGTCTCGCTCTCCTCCCCCCCCGTCCGTCTCGCTCTCCTCCCCCCCCCCGTCCGTCTCGCTCTCCTCCCCCCCCCCCGTCCGTCTCGCTCTCCACCCCCCCCCCCGTCCGTCTCGCTCTCCTCCCCCCCCCCGTCCGTCTCGCTCTCTCCTCCCCCCCCCCCCGTCTCGCTCTCCTCCCCCCCCCCCTCGCTCTCCTCCTCCCCCCCCCCCCCCCCCGCTCTCCTCCCCCCCCCCCCGTCTCGCTCTCCTCCTCCCCCCCCCCCCCCCGTCTCGCTCTCTCTCCCCTTTCCCCCCCGTGGTATATAGCAGGACGCGGTGGTATATACTTACATTGTCTCTCCTCCTCCAGTTCTCGGTGACAGTTGCCGGTCTGACAGGTAAAGATCCCGTCCAGTGCAGCCGAGACGTTGTCATCTGTCCGGACACCAGTCTAGAGGAGGCGCGCAAACAGGTAACCCTACGGAGCTCCTCATAGGTCTGTGTTATGGGGGGGCTGAGAGATGAGTGGTCAGTTTTGGGGTTCCGGGTCTCATATGGACTCTCCTCCTTTCTGTGGTCCTCGGAGACCAGCTGGTGTCAAGTAAAAGGTTCCTGCATGTGCTCAGCAGTCCTTCCACCAACCCCCCCCTCCCCCCCCCTGTTGGTTCTTATAACCCATCCCCCCATCTGTTTCCCTGGAGGTTCCTGCACCCTTCTTCCTGGTAGAGTCCAGACACTTCCTGGTGGTGCACCCTTCTAGATGGTGGCCATTGAGCCTTCCTGCCTGGCAGATTTCTGACACTTCCTGGCAGTGATGATGCTTGCCTGGCTCCTCCCACCTCACATGTTCCTGCATGCACTTGCAACTTTCTAAACCCCCTTTAGATTCTTGCACCCCCTGGAGGTTCCTGCACCCCCCTCTTCCTCCTGTCGGTTCCTGAATTCCTCTGGAGGTTCCTGCACCCCCCCCCTTTCCCCTTGTTGGTTCCTGCACTTCCTTCCCTTTGTTGGTTGAGCCCTCTGAGTGAGTTCAGGGGCTCCTGCACCCTTCTGCCTGGTGGAGTCCAGACACTTCCTGGTGGTGTCAACACTTGCCTGGCTCCTCCCACATTCCTACACCTGGTGGTTCCGGCAGGCACTTGGTGATCCTTGCACCCTGTAGAGGTTCCTGCACCCTTCTAGATGGTGGCCATTGAGCCTTCCTGCCTGGCAGATTCCAGACACTTCCTGGTTGTGTCGATGCTTGCCTGACTCCTCCCACCTTGCCAGGAAGGCCGCTATCATGGTGCTTGGCCAATAAGAATGCAGGGCGTCTAGCGGGTCCGGGCTGCCGGGAAGTGTTGGCGCTTTTCTTGCTGGGAGCGTCCAGTGTCTGAGTAGAAGAGAGGGACCGAGAACTGCTGCAGGTGGGTGCAGGAACCCCTCCCCAGAAAGACGGCGCCATCTTTGTTCAGGCTTCATCCATCTACTTCCTGGTGTGAGATGACCAATCATATTACAGCTGTGTAGCGATCTGTCGGGAAGCTGCTTCTCCACGCCGTCCTCCATGGTGCTGGCACTGATGATGTCATTAGGAGTCCGATAAAGATCCCGTCCTCCTGTGTGTCGGGGGCAGTGCGCACCCCCATCCCTCCCCTCCGGGGGCAGTGCGCACCCCCATCCCTCCCCTCCGGGGCAGTGCGCACCCCCATCCCTCCCCCTCCGGGGGCAGTGCGCACCCCCCCCCCCCAGTGTGCGCCCCATCCCTCCCCTCCGGGGGCAGTGCGCACCCCTCTTTCCCGGGGCAGTGTGTTCCCCCCCCCCCCCCCCGGGGCAGTGCGCACCCCTCTCCCCCCCGGGGGCAGTGCGCGCGCCCCCCCCAGTGTGCGCCCCCATCCCTCCCCTTCGGGGGCAGTGCGCACCCCCTCTTTCCCGGGGCAGTGTGTTCCCCCCCCGGGGGCAGTGCGCGCCCCTCCCCCCCCGGGGGCAGTGCGCGCCCCTCCCCCCCCGGGGGCAGTGCGCGCCCCTCCCTCCCCCCCCGGGGCAGTGCGCGCCCCTCCCCCCCGGGGGCAGTGCGCGCCCCTCCCCCCCCGGGGGCAGTGCGCGCCCCTCCCCCCCCGGGGCAGTGCGCGCCCCTCCCCTCTGCAGCTCTGGGACGGGTTGATCTTCATGTATGACACCTGAGTACTGCAGATGGAAAGGTCAGAATTCCTGGCACCGCCTCTACCCCCCCCCCCCCCCCCCCCCCCCTCAGTCTAATTTTGGGCCTCCGCCGCTCCTCCTGTCCTCTGCAGTATAAGGGTCGGTAAATGTAAACGACTTCACATGTTGTCAGCTTCATGTATGTTCCATGTATGTTCCATGATCTCCTGTGATTTATTTATTTTCTTGCATCGCGGTTTCCTTTCTGTCTTTGAAATCGCCATAAACTGCAGAGAACGTCACGCCAGAAATGCTGGAGAAATGGCGGCGCAGCAAAATCGCGTTCGGACGCCGACATTCATTGGTGCGATTCCCAAATCCCGGAAATGGCGGCGGTGTGACCGCGGACTGCAGTGTTAGAAAATAAAACGTTCGGGAATCCCGACGTGTCGATCGATCTGCATGGAGGATCCACTACAAAGGATCGATTCCATGGAAGACACACAGGTTCCCCTAAAGGGGAACTCCACCTCTCTGACCGTTTATTCATGTTTGGGGTGTTGAAACCTGACCACAGCCAGCAGCCTCCACCCCCTTCCTACAGAATCTGGGGAATCCTTCCTGTGCCTGGGCACGGCCCTCCTTGCAGAATCCGGGGAATCCTTCCTGTGCCTGGGCACGGCCCTCCTTGCGGAATCCTTCCTGTGCCTGGGCACTGCCCTCCTTGCAGAATCCTTCCTGTGCCTGGGCACTGCCCTCCTTGCAGAATCCTTCCTGTGCCTGGGCACTGCCTTCCTTGGGGAATCCTTCCTGTGCCTGGGCACTGCCTTCCTTGGGGAATCCTTCCTGTGCCTGGGCACTGCCTTCCTTGGGGAATCCTTCCTGTGCCTGGGCACTGCCTTCCTTGGGGAATCCTTCCTGTGCCTGGGCACTGCCTTCCTTGGGGAATCCTTCCTGTGCCTGGGCACTGCCTTCCTTGGGAATCCTTCCTGTGCCTGGGCACTCCTGTTCTGTATAGCTGGATATCTGCAGTATGAGACCCAAGGCACTGCTGCCTCTGTATTCCCTACAGCATTCTGTCATTATGTGTGACTCGGCTGCTTCATCCACTCACATTAATCTGTGCCCCATAGTAACACAGACCCCGCCCCCTAGTACAACACTCCCAGCACACAGTTAACCCTTTGATGGCCCCACACATTAACCCCTTCCTGCCCAGTGCCATTAGTACAGTGTTGGGGCTTTGTATTCGCACTGATCACTGTATTGGTGTCACTGGCGATGGCAGTTAGTCAGCCCCCCCCCCCCCCCCCCCAGTGTCAGAATGGCTGCCGCAGTCCCGTTATAAGTCGCTGGTCGCCGCCATTACTAGTATAAGAAAAATGTAAAAATCCCCGTCTCTATCCCGCGCCATTTGTAGACGCGACAACTTTCCGATTTCCACCTATCAGGATTCGTCTTTTAGCAAAGACGCGGAGCCGGAGACATTTTACCCAAAATTTTTTTTTTTTTTTTTTTTTTATGACAAAATATTGGAGTTTTTTTTCTTTTCAAATTTTTCAGTTTGTTGTATATAACGCAAAAAATAAAAAGTGCGCAAGTGATCAAAGTTCTATTTGTGTGGGAAAAAAAGGGCGTAAATCTCATGGATGTACTGCGTTGCGTGACCGCGCAATTCTCAGTGAAACTAGTGCAGTGCCAAATAGCAAAAAATGGCGTCAATTGTAGTATCTCTCCCCCCATTTGTAGGCGCTATAACTTCACCCACAGCTATCTATGTAGTGTGATATTTCACCAACAACGCCGAGCCGCAGACATTTTACCCCAAATTTAGGACTTTGACTTTATTATTTATTTATTTTATAGGCAAAAGTAAAAAAATATATTGTTTTTTCTTCAAAAATTTTGGTTCTTTTGTTTATAGCGTGAAAAATAAAAACCTCTCAGGCGATCAAATACCACCGAAAGAAATCTATATTTGTGTGGAAAAAAAGACGTAAATTTTGTTTGGGAGCAGCGTTGCACGACCCGCGCAATTACCAGTTGAAATAGCACAGCAGCGAATAGCAAAAAATGGCGTGGTCATGAAGGGGGAGGGGTTAAGTCCTCGGGAGGGGGAGGGGTTAAGTCCTCGGGAGGGGAGGGGTTAAGTCCTCGGGAGGGGTTAAAGAATGAAACCTCCACTGGATGTACATAGACGATGGAAGTGCAGTGTCCCGCCCCCTGTCTGTGAACAGGCGCAGTGTCCCGCCCCCTGTCTGTGAACAGGCGCAGTGTCCCGCCCCCTGTCTGTGAACAGGCGCAGTGTCCCGCCCCCTGTCTGTGAACAGGCGCAGTGTCCCGCCCCCTGTCTGTGAACAGGCGCAGTGTCCCGCCCCCTGTCTGTGAACAGGCGCAGTGTCCCGCCCCCTGTCTGTGAACAGGCGCAGTGTCCCGCCCCCTGTCTGTGAACAGGCGCAGTGTCCCGCCCCCTGTCTGTGAACAGGCGCAGTGTCCCGCCCCCTGTCTGTGAACAGGCGCAGTGTCCCGCCCCCTGTCTGTGAACAGGCGCAGTGTCCCGCCCCCCCCCCCCCCCGTGAACAGGCGCAGTGTCCCGCCCCCCCCCCCGTGAACAGGCGCAGTGTCTCGCCCCCCCCCCCCCGTGAACAGGCGCAGTGTCTCGCCCCCCCCCCCCGTGAACAGGCGCAGTGTCCCGCCCCCCCCCCCCCCCCCGTGAACAGGCGCAGTGTCCCCCCCCCCCCCCCCCCACCCCGTGAACAGGCGCAGTGTCCCGCCCCCCCCCCCCCACCCCGTGAACAGGCGCAGTGTCCCGCCCCCCCCCCCACCCCGTGAACAGGCGCAATGTCGCCCCCCCTATCTATCAACAAGTGAAATGTCTTCTTGGAGCAGCCGGGTATGGAACATCCGGACGATTCTTTTCCTTTCACAGATGCTGATGGTTATTATTTCTCTTTCAGGGTCCGTATGACGTTGTGGTCCTTCCTGGAGGGAATCTGGGGGCTCAGAATCTGTCCGAGGTAAAAACATTTTCCAGGCGCTGCAATGTGGGGCCCCTTCACACTGTCGCTGCAATGTGGGGCCCCTTCACACTGTCGCTGCGATTCACGTTCTGTGTCGGTGTTGCAGTAGGATGCTCCTTCCAAGTGAATGCTCTGCCAATCCACGGTGTATGTACCACGCCTGCAATGCACAGCTGTCCCCCCATTTATTGGGGTGTATTCAGAGCGAAGGTCGCTGCATGGCACCACCGCATGGAGTGTGCATCACCATGGCACCACCGCATGGAGTGTGCATCACCATGGCAGTGTAGTGTGAATGAGGCCCTCAGAGCTTCTTTATATTCCTCATGGAGGATCGTGCCGAGGAGGGATTATAATCCATACATATTATTATTATTATTATTATTATTATAATGGATACTTATTGTATTGGTGATGTATTGGTGACGTATTGGTGATGTATTGGTGATGTATTGGTGATGTATTGGTGACGTATTGGTGATGTATTGGTGATGTATTGGTGATGGGTTATATTGGGTACATATTATAGTAGATTTGTATTGGTGATGTATTGATGATGTATTGATGACGTATTGGTGACGTATTGGTGACGTATTGGTGACAGGTTATATTGGGTACATATTACAGTAGATTTTGTATTGATGATGTATTGGTGATGTATTGATGATGTATTGATGATGTATTGGTTATATTGATGACATATTTGTGTTCCTCAGTCTCCCGCAGTGAAGGAAGTCTTGCAGGAACAGGACGCGAAGAAAGGTCTGATTGCTGCTATCTGTGCCGGTATGGAAAAGTATTTTTTTTTTTTTTCTCCTTCTTTGTTTACTAAGAAATTGTTGGTTTCCGTAATTGACACATGCAATTAATTACCGCCCCCCAACCAGCCAATCAAGAATAGAATACTCCTTTATAGGAGATGATCTGATACAGATGAATAGTTTTCCCATGACACACATTGTCCTCCCATTCCGAACTCTTCACTATGGCCGGGGCGTAGGGAGGAGGATGGAGGGAGCCGCTCATCTCACCCGTCGGAACCTTCCTGAACCACATATCCCATGAACCATTGGGAATGTAGTGCCATTTGTGGGCGGTTCTACTAAAGCAGGTTTCCCTTTCTCTGCACGACGCCTTGTAGAAAGAATCGCATTTCCTGCGTCTCACATACTGCTGACGAGTGTTGTAGGGCGCAGAGGTGGGGGTCACCTGAATGTCCTGCCCATCAAAGCCTATGGGTGTGGATAGATTGGGGGGGGGGGGAGGGAATGAGGAGTGGTCACTCTCCCCGAAAGCGCAAGTACACTGGAATCCTGGGCTGCATGGGGGCTGCTAGGTCACCAGTGGCTTAGAGAGGGCAATGGTTGGGGGAGGGGGCATGTAGAATGGAGACCTTGATGGTGAGGGGGTCACCCCCCCCCCCCACGCCTGAGGTCCAGTCCCACCCCCCCCCCCCCACGTCCCAGTCCCAACCCCCCCCCCACGCCTGAGGTCCAGTCCCTCCCAACCCCCCCCCCACACACACGCCTGAGGTCCAGTCCCGCAACCCCCCCCCCCCCCACACACGCCTGAGGTCCAGTCCCACCCCCCCCCGCACACGCCTGAGTCCAGTCCCAACCCCCCCCCACACGCCTGAGGTCCAGTCCCCACCCCCCACCCCCCCCCACACACACGCCTGAGGTCCAGTCCCAACCCCCCCACACACACGCCTGAGGTCCAGTCCCCATAAGAGTCAAAACCCCCCCCCCCCCACCGAAAACACGCCTGAGGTCCAGTCCCAACCCCCCCCACCTATCCTGAGACAGGTATAGTACCAACCCCCACATCCCCACACGCCGCCGTAGGTCCCAGTACCCAACCCCCCCCCCCCCACCTGAGGTCTGAGAGTACCCAGTCCCCCCCCCCCACGCCTGAGGTCCAGTCCCAACCACCCCCCCCACCCCCCCACCTGAAGTACCAGTCCCCCCCCCCGCGCCTGAGGGGTCCAGTCCCAACCCCCCCACCCTCCCCCCACGCCTGTATTAATCATCCAGTCCCAACCCCCCCCCCACCCTTTACCATTCCCAACCCCCACCCCACGCCTGAGGTCCAGTCCCAACCCCCCCCCACGCCTGAGGTCCAGTCCCAACCCCAACCCCCACACGCCTGAGGTCCAGTCCCCAACCCCCTCCCCTCCCCCCCCCACGCCTGAGGTCCATTCCCAACCTCCCACCCCCCCCCCCACCCTGAGTCCAGTCCCAACCCCCCCCCACGCCTGAGGTCCAGTCCCAACCCCCCCCATCCAGTCCCTGAAGGGTCCAGTCCCAACCCCCCACCCTACCCCCCCCCCCCCCCCCCCACCCTGAGGGTCCAGTCCCAACCCCCCCCCCCCAACCCTGAGGGTCCTGTCCCTACCCCCCCCCCACCCTGAATGTCGCAACCCACTCCCCACCCCCCCCCCACTCGCCTGAGTCCCCCCCAACCCAACCCCCCCCACCCCTGAGGTCCCCCCCCCCAACCCCCACCCCAAACTCACCTGAGGTCCAGTCCCAACCCCCCCCCCCCGACGCCTGAGGTCCAGTCCCAACCCCCCCCCCCCCGCCTGAGGGTCCATTTCCCAACCCCCCCCCCCTACGCCTGAGTCCCCAGTCCCCCCCCCCCCCCCCCAACCCCTGAGGGATCCATTCACCCCCCCCCCCCCAACTGCCTAGGTCCATCCCAACCCCCCCCCCCACCCTGATGTCCATTCCCAACCCCCCCCCCACCCTGAGTCCATTCCCATCCCCCCCGCCCCCCCTAGTCCATTCCCCACCACCCCACCCCCCCCCCCCTGAGGTCCAGTCCCCCCCCCCCCCCCTGAGGACGCAAACCCCCCCCACCCCCCATCCCTGAGGGACCAGTCCCAACCCCCCACCCCCCACCTGAGTCCAGTCCCAACACCCCCCCCCACCACCCCTGAGTCCTGTTCCCATCCCCCCCCCCCCCACGCCTGAGGTCCAGTATCCCAACCCCCCCCCCCCCCCCCCCCCCCACGCCCTGCGGTCCAGTCCCCCCCCACCCCCCCACGCCTGAGGTCCAGTCCCACCCCCCCCCCCCCCACGCCTGAGTCCAGTCCCAACCCCCCCCCCCCCCCACGCCTGAGGTCCCAGTCCCCCAACCCCCCCCCCCCCTCCCGACCCTGAGGTCCAGAATCCCAACCCCCCCCCACCCCGCTTAGGTTCCATCCCAACCCTACCCCCACGCCCTGATGTCCACCCCAACCTCCCACCCCCCCCCCCCCCCACGCCTGAGGTCCAGTCCCAACCCTCCCCACCCCCCCCCCCCCCCCCACGCCTGAGGTCCAGTCCCAACCTCTAAGCCCCCCCCCCCCCCCCCCCCCCCACGCCTGAGTCCGTCCCAACCTCCCACCACCCCCCCCCCCCCCACGCCTGAGGTCCCAGTGAGGTCCCAACCCCCACGCCCCCCCCCCCCCCCCCCCCACGCCTGAGGGCCAGTAATCCCAACCCCCCAGCCAAACACACACCGCCTGAGGTCTCAGTCCCAAACACCCCCACCCCCCCCCAACACACGCCTGAGATCCAGTCCCCAACCCAAACCCCCCCCCACGCCTGAGGTCCAGTCCCGACGCCCCCCCCGAGAGTCAGTCTCTCCTCCTCCTCCCTCCCCCCTTTACCATTTGGCTCCCCCCCCCTTTCCCTCTTGCTGTCAGAGTTCCCCTCCCCCGTTCCCCATCACAGCATCCCCTCTGCATAGTGAAGCCCTGCGTTATGTCTCCAGCAACATGGCGGACAGCAGGAGGCGGAGCAGATCTTGATAGAGGTGCACCTCCACCTTCTCCTGAGCTATGTGCGGGGAGCAGCCTGCTTGTTGCCTGCCCTGGATCAGTAACCTGAGGACACGGATGCATAACGGGACTGTGTCATGCACTCGTGACCACCCCCCCCCCCCAATTAACAGTCAGAGACATTCACCAATTGTCACCCTTCTCCAGCATGGGCAGAATGTCTCCTCGTCTTGCCGGGTGTCTGGCGGTCTCTCTGGGCCCTCGAATGGCTCGTTTTCCTTCTATGGACCTGCCTAGGAAGAGACTCGGGGGGGAGGGGCTCTTGTCGGCTGTCACCCGTCATTCTGGGATCCATTCACTCATCTCATCAATATGCATCTCAGGGTTCTGCTCCCTTCCCGGGTCTCCGGACGGCGCCAGGATGGACTGAACTCTCAGCTTCATTCAATTATTGGATGAAATTGATAGCCCCCCCTCACCCCCCCCCTCCTAAATCGCCTTTCCTGGTTTTAAAGGGGAAACAGGAAAAAGTATTCTCTGCACAAACCCAAATCAGATTTTTCTGGTTTAATAATAATATTATATTTTTGTTCACCGATTTAGGGCTCTGTTCCCACTAGTGATATATAGTTATTATTATTTAATTTATTTTTTTATTGCTTTATGGACAGTTGGGGGGGGTGAGCATTGTTTTCCAGGTGACAGGTCCTCTTGTTGGCCCCCTCTCCTGCAGGAAACTTGTGTGGTGCTCCAATCCTATGAATATGCTGTCAGGTTTGCTTGAACCTTTTACCTTGTAATCCTGCCTCTGACAGAGAAAGCTGAATGGTATCATGTGACCAGAAGCTGCAGTTCCTCCTGCAGAATAGCTCTCATTAGCATGTTTTGTGGATTTCTCTTTCTGTGGCTCACAGACCGACCACTAGAGCAAAGGGCTTCCTCTCAGGGGCAATACACATCTAAGAGATTGCCCGTCAACCTAACCTCCTAGCACTGCTATGGTGACATTCTGGGGCTCGGGTCACCCTCTGGTAGGGCAGCACTGCGCAAAAACTGTGTGACAGATCCAAACCACATGCTCACGCCCTCGGCGACTATCTATCCAGCCGGGACTTATTCGGAATATATAAGACCAGCCGTGACACACTTTCACAGCTCACAATACCTCTGGCCACCACTAGAGGGTGACTCCACTCCAATCTAGCTGGCTGATCACACACAGGCAGATAAGAATCTTACATACAATCTGGTGCACTGATTAGGGTTGAGGAGCAGCCAAGCAATCACACCCTTCTAGGATTCCTCCAGCTATCCTACAAGCCGCAAACCCCGGTGTTCATCACTCTTCCATTGTCCACACCAGACACACCACAAAAGGTAGCCTGCCACCACCCAAACAGTTTGTCCGCAGACTGGCCTGCTGGGCCCCCACACACACACACACACACACACACACAGATCTCCGTCTGGCAGACCTGCTACCTTGCAGTCTGCCCACACGCAGTGCAATTGCATTCAGATTGGCAATGAGTTTGACCGAGCGTTTAAAGGCACTAAAATACAATACAATCTAATCTTTCCGGAGATCTGAGCCCGAGCTTAATTACCCAGAAGTCACTAATTAATTTTATGATTTAATATCCCGAAAGTGGGCGGTGCATAAAATATGTACAAAGTATAAAACGTTACAGAAAATACAAGAAGACACACAATTGGCTATTCACTATAAAATAAAAGGGAATAAAAACAGAAATAAAACTTTACCAAGAGTTATCCTGCAACTGGAGCAAGTCAGAGAAAGTCCGCGATTCGCCAGTCATATGGAACCGGCTCTGTGCGAATCACCCCGTCCATATCTCAGGGTCCTCAATTTATTGAAATATGGACGTAGGCTGGACATTAGCCCTTGGCCAATCAACCCTGGGGGGTGTTCCTGTACCAGCCCACAGGACATTGTGTTCTGAAGTACCCAAAGCCGATTGGACCAGGAACGGTTTGAATCACCAAGTCAGGGATAGAATTTCTGTTAAAATAAAATGGTGCAGCGCTGAATACTAGAGCACAGTTTATACACACAATATATATACACATGCGTGATATCACTCTAGGGGTGATCAATGAATATAAAAGTTCTATGTAATAGTGCGGATCATACAGGATCCTAATTCAAGGTGAGTGGACGTCCTGATCCAAGGTGTGATGATAGGTGTGTTCACACAAATAGGTGAAAAACACACTCACCAGATGTGCGTTTAATACACGCAATATGTAATCCTGCGTCACCAGGCCATGAAACGATCATCAGATCCCAGATCAGATTGTACCCAGATTACCATCCCGGCTAGTTAGATGTCCTGCTGCTACTGCCCCCTGACGCGTTTCGTGCGATGCACATATTCATAGGGTCCAGGGCTCTGGACCCTATGAATATGTGCATCGCACGAAACGCGTCAGAGGGGCAGTAGCAGCAGGACATCTAACTACTTGAGGAATACATATGGTCAGTAAACTTTTTGTTTAATCCTTCTATGTACCCCATACCAACCAACCCTGAATAAAGGCATCTAAAGCAGTATCACGCTATGAGGTCTCTTATTGGGCACTCTGTATGAGTGCTATCATTCGCAGTGCCCATTTGGAGGATTCAGGACCCTGGTGGTGATACCTGGTAACGGTTTCGGATGACCTTGCTTCCGCGGAGCCGGGATGGTAATCTGGGTACAATCTGATCTGGGATCTGATGATCGTTTCATGGCCTGGTGACGCAGGATTACATATTGCGTGTATTAAACGCACATCTGGTGAGTGCGTTTTTCACCTATTTGTGTGAACACACCTATCATCACACCTTGGATCAGGACGTCCACTCACCTTGAATTAGGATCCTGTATGATCCGCACTATTACATAGAACTTTTATATTCATTGATCACCCCTAGAGTGATATCACGCATGTGTATATATATTGTGTGTATAAACTGTGCTCTAGTATTCAGCGCTGCACCATTTTATTTTAACACATATGTTTGATTGGAGGTTTTATTTGGTTACCTTTTCGGTGTATCAGCTGCTCAGTTATATTGTCTGTGTATACGCTTTTGTGTACACACATTTATACATTTTTTGGCATTTAGTTGCGCTCACTTTAACATCCTATATTACAATAGGGATAGAATTTCTGACACCAGCGCATCAGTCCGATCCGACAGTACCAATCACTGTTCAGCTGTCGCAATCAGGCGCCATATAACAGTTTTCTGTGTTTCTCTGGGATTCTACAGAGGCTACAAATACAGTTTTACATGAAGATGTAGCTTACAGTGTGTCCAATCAGAAGGAAGTATTTTCATCTCTCTGCAACTGATATTTTAGTTTTTATGAGAAATGAAATAGATTCCTTTGGTCTGCTGATATAAGTCATAGCTCCCAGACACATCGGAGCCACTCCTGGTCTCCTGCGGCTTCCCGAAACCGACATGGCTGGAGCTCCTCTTTTAGACTTCAAGAAGGTGGCAAACTCTGGCTACATAGATGACAACGAATTTTTTTTTATTAACATCTAGGTGTCACCTCCAGCCTAGAAGCTGCTCTGTCCTTTTCAGATGCTGATTGGTGAACATATGTCTCTGACTGAATACTGAACACTTATCTGTAATAACATGGAACTAACTAGATATACAATGACATATTTCTACTGATCACATCTCAACTACTCGAATCTTACATTTATGTTACACTGTGCCGCACTTCATTGTTAATGGCACCGTAAACGCAGCAAAGAGTATTTTGCATGAAAAAGATGCAAAACTCAAAAAGATTGCTGAACTACTTTGCCATGTGTAAGGCAGCCCATTGCAGGGATTGGCTGCCGTGTGTGTAATGTGACGGGGGGGGGGGGGGGGGGGGGGGGGGGGGGGTTGCACATTTGCACAATGCCTGGTGTTGCATATACCAGTGTGGGCCGATGTGACACTATGCCTGTCCTCTTCCTTTGTAGCAGCTGGTCCTCGCAAAGTGTGACATCCACCTTGTACAGAGGTTGTATTGATTTTCCTTGTCTCTCCAGGCCCCACCGCCCTCCTGGCACACGGAATAGCATATGGAAAGAAGGTCACCACACACCCCCTGGCCAAGGACAAGATGATGAATGGAGGTAACTGTCCATCATTGATGTCAATTGTACGGATTCTGTGATTCCCTCTCCTCTGCAGGGTTGCATATCCTAAAAATGGCGGATGAAGCCACATAATGACGGAGGGTGCTGTGGGGGAGCACGGGCATGGGTCTTCAATCTTGGGGGGGGGGGGTGGCTATTGGGTTCCTTCCTCTCTCCAACCTTGGTGGCGGTCTCTCTTCCAGGGACTCTCTAACCCAGTACTGGGGGGAGGCAGGTAGGGGCCCCTTCTCTTCGAGGGAAGTGCTGGTAGACGCACCCAGTCCACTTTTGTTTACATTTGTGGTGGTACACTTGGGTGTGTCAATTCATGCTGCACCATCTTCAGATCCAATATTGCCGTGGAATAATTCACTAGTCAGAACCCACAGTAGGTCCAGAAAGGAGGGTTTTCATGTATAAATGGACACAAGGTTTTGCGGTATATATCTTTTTGTTGTATATATTCCATGGCTCTAACAAAGGGATGAATCCTCCAATATGCAAATACACTTGTAATCCAAGTGCGATACAAACATCATTTCAGCTTGGCAACAGTTTCAGGCGTGCCGAACTCTTTTTCAAGTAACAATATAGATACATTGTATCCTGAGAGAGTGCGGCACGCCTGAAACTGTTGCCAAGCTGAAATGATGTTTCTTTGGATTACAAAGAAAGTGAATTTGCATATAGAAGATGTCTTTGGAGTGTTGGAGGAAACCCACACAGGCACAGGGAGAACATGCAAACTCCAGGCAGGTGGTGCCGTGGTTGGGATTCAAACCGACAACCCCAGTGCTGCCAGGAGGAAGTGCCAACCACTTTGCCACTGTGCTGCCGACATTTTGGAGAAGATCCATTACAGACAGCACTAGATACAAAAAATGTAGGACGATCCCTAAGAACAGATATATATATATAATCAGATTAAATTTTCACCATCACACACGGACCAATTATTCCCTTCTGTCCCGGCTGCCCCTCTCCTGAAACACTCACACTTAACAGACTAATAATATCTCGGAGTTCCGCTTTAACATAAAAATAAATTCTGCTTTCCTGGTTTCTTTCTCCCCCCCCCCAGACCACTACCAGTACTCGGAGAACCGCGTGGAGCGGGACGGCCACATCCTCACCAGCCGTGGCCCCGGCACCAGCTTTGAGTTTGGTTTGGCCATCATCGAATGTTTGGCGGGGAAGGAGACGGCGGATCAGACAAAGGCTCCTCTGGTCCTCAAGGACTAAATCATGAGATTCTGAAACCAAAAATTCTCTCGCCGATTGGCCTTCAGATCCTGTGAACACGTTCAGCTTCATGTATGGAAGAACCAAATTGTCATCAACTGCAGTCACTGGAAGAAGAATCTTAAAGATCAGATCCAGCCAAAAAAAAGTTTTTGTTTTTTTTTTAAATCACAGAAATGTTGTCTGTTCTGTATTTTTGTGTGGCCCCACTGAGGAGATTTTCCCTCTTTCCTGCCCTTGTGACACCAGTATGGGGGGGGGGGGGGGTCAGTCACCAGAACAGGAAGTCATCCTCTCCTATTCTTTGCACCTGCTGGGGAGATTTCCTCTCACATCCTGAACTGACAATGGGGGATGGGAAATTTTTACTGATATACAACCACTCCCTGCTCTATACAAAAAAAAACAAAAAAAACACTTTGGCTGGAATTGGACTTTAAACCCTTTCAACCATTAGGACAATTTCCTTCCTATAAGATCCAATTTCCTCCTCGAATTACAGATAATGATAAATGGAATTGCACTTAAATGACAGCACTTGATTTCTGTTGTGATGTTTCTTGACAGAATTAAAATAAAGTTTTTGAAAAGAATCTGTCATCACTGGGCCTCTGTGCTTCTCTATGCAATGCAGGCAGATCATGGCTGGTGGGGGGGGGGGGGCCGGTAGGGTGCTCCCTGAAAACTCAAGAGCCCTCAGTGCTGATGCAAGCAGTGGGAGGAGTTATGCAAATATAAAAATGCCTGGATGGGTGGGTATCAGTCTGGGGGAGTGGGTGTTCCTAGGCAGGCTGAATTTGCATGCCAAGTAACCCCCCCAATGTGATGCTGAGCCTCCATGACTGAAGGAACTGAAATCCAATTAGTGAAAGGGGTGGAAGGAAAGGGAATTTGTAATAACATTGAATTACAACATGGCTTGAGTAGCGATTGAATATAATAATATATTTTTTAACATGCTATCATTTTTTTCCACAAAAATTGAGTTACCCTTTAAATCCTCATTTACACGCGCTTCAAAAGGTGGCATTGGACGCCTTTTTAAAGCGCCAATCAAAGCCCCTGTCACTAAATAAAATGGTCACCTTACAGTCCTGTTCACACTGTTTGCTTTGCTTCAAAAATGATCCCCCATGTTTTGGTGCCTCAAAAGCGTCTCCATAGAAGTCTGACAACGTCGCTAACAGCACCGGCAGCATTTGAGGGGCTTTTATTCGGAGTGGGGTTCACTTTGTTGAGATCCCAGGATGAAACCTATGGTGAGCAGCAATGAGATCAATATAGCGGGAGGTGGGCGGGGATTGGAGAGAGAGGAGGGTCAGCAGAGCTGGGGGTTACTACTGAGCGAAGGATACAAAGAGCTGGGGGTACTACATGGGGCATCATTGGGGCTTACTACTGAGCGGAGGATTAGAAACGGTGGGGGTGTTACTGACCGGGGGATCAGCAGAGCTGGAAGATACTAAGTGGGGGTTCAACAGAGGTGGGGGAGTCACTACTGAGCGGGGGTTCATCAAAGTTGGGAGTACAACTGCGTATGGCATCGTTGGAGCTGAAGGTTACTACTGATTGTGGGGTTCAGCAGAGCTGGGAGAACTATTGAGTGAGGGATATGCAAACCTGGGGGAACTCATGCGTGGGACATCACTGGAGCTGGGGGTACTACTAAGTAAGAGCAGTATTGGAGCTTGGTGGCTACTACTCAGTGAGGGATCAGCAGAGCTGGGGATTACTACTGAGTGGGGGATCAGCAGAGCTGGGGATTACTACTGAGTGGGGGATCAGCAGAGCTGGGGATTACTACTGAGTGGGGGATCAGCAGAGCTGGGGATTACTACTGAGTGGGGGATCAGAAGAGCTGGGGATTGCTACTGAGTGGGGGATCAGCAGAGCTGGGGATTGCTACTGAGTGGGGGATCAGCAGAGCTGGGGATTGCTACTGAGTGGGGGATCAGCAGAGCTGGGGATTGCTACTGAGTGGGGGGATCAGCAGAGCTGGGGATTGCTACTGAGTGGGGGATCAGCAGAGCTGGGGATTGCTACTGAGTGGGGGATCAGCAGAGCTGGGGATTGCTACTGAGTGGGGGATCAGCAGAGCTGGGGATTGCTACTGAGTGGGGGATCAGAAGAGCTGGGGATTGCTACTGAGTGGGGGATCAGCAGAGCTGGGGATTGCTACTGAGTGGGGGATCAGCAGAGCTGGGGATTGCTACTGAGTGGGGGATCAGAAGAGCTGAAGATTACTACTGAGTGGGGGATCAGAAGAGCTGGGGATTGCTACTGAGTGGGGGATCAGCAGAGCTGGGGATTGCTACTGAGTGGGGGATCAGCAGAGCTGGGGATTGCTACTGAGTGGGGGATCAGCAGAGCTGGGGATTGCTACTGAGTGGGGGATCAGCAGAGCTGGGGATTGCTGCTGAGTGGGGGATCAGCAGAGCTGGGGATTGCTACTGAGTGGGGGATCATCAGAGCTGGGTATTGCTACTGAGTGGGGGATCAGAAGAGCTGAGGATTACTACTGAGTGGTGTGACGATCGCGGCGTCAGACCCCAGCCCTTCTTACCAACTCGTGACCGAAGGACTAGCCAATCTAAAACCGCACTGTCAAGTGCGTAACAATGCCACGCCCAGCTGCACCCTGCACACATATTTTCCAGCTAATGGACCACAATCTGTGTATCTGCAGCCTGAGAGCGTTTGTTACTGGGTCAAGTTAATTAAGCAATTAACCCTTCACACTGCCACCACCTCCTTTTTGTACAGGGAAAGAGGAAACTTGGCAATATCTGCAATAGCATCTATGATGTTGGAATAAGCGTCTGTATACTATTGTTACCGCAGACACATGTATGCAGACGTTTAAAAACACACAGTAGCGCTCTTCAGAGACAGGGATTCTTAGTTTGCATTAAAGAGCTTTAGAAACAGTTCAACACTTTTCAGAAAATAAGATTTATTACTAAAAAGGTCAAAATGGTGCAATAAAGTATTTACAGAAAAAGATGTAGCCTATATATATATATAGAGAGATAACAGAAAGAAGTTTACAGAGGTAGAGTACTTGCCGTCAGCCTTGGTTTAAGCAGCTTTAAAGTGTCAGAGCAAAAGGGCGCCTTATCTCCCAAGGTTGGTTCATGGTGTTAAAAGGGAGAATTCTTCAACTCACTCAACTCCCTGCTCCAAGCATAACAGCCTTTTTCTAGGAACTCAGCAGGGTGTCTCCTTGAAGCAGAGAACCAATCGCCTCATTTGGGGAGGGTGTTGTAGGCGGCAACCCAAGCTAGAACCAAAATCCCTCCCAGTTTATTTCATGATCAATAACCTACCCTAGGTGCATGTAGCAGCCTAGCCCCTAGTAGATTAATAGGCAGAATCATTTGCTGAACGTCTAGATATGAAACATGGCATAGTTCCCTATTTCAGCTAGAACTATATGGCTTTCTGCTCTCCTGTAGACTTCAACTAGGGGGTGTAAGATATCAGGTGACTTGTATTAAAGTGACCAATCTGAATATATGCCTGGTTTCTTTGTAAATCTTTCATATCTCCAGATATAAAATTATATGGAAAAGTGGATTTTTAAATGTGAGTCTGTTTTACGGCTTATCTGGAATGCGTTTGAAGCCCATTGAAGGACTGGTTCATGGCTTTACGATCCTTTCCAAGCAGGAGTCTCACAGACATATGGGGGCCAGGCTAATTGGGGTTTATAACCATGAAGCTCTCCCACTGTGCCTGATGCCTGTAATCTCTGGCATCATACAGACCACATCACTCAACAGAGAGGGAGGGGGGTATTGGAGGGAGAAAGATACAAGATGGAGGATCCTTAGCAAGATGGATGACCGCGTCCATCTCCGTATGCACAATTGCTACAAGTGGAGGATCAGCAGAGCTGGGGATTACTATTGAGTGGGGGATCAGCAAAGGTGGGGATTACTACTGAGTGGGGGATCAGAAGAGCTGGGGATTACTACTGAGTGGGGGATCAGCAGAGCTGGGGATTACTACCGAGCGGGGGATCAGAAGAGCTGGGGATTACTACTGAGTGGAGGATCAGGAGAGCTGGGGATTACTACTGAGTGGGGATCAGAAGAGCTGGGGATTACTACTGAGTGGGGGATCAGAAGAGCTGGAATTACTACTGAATGGGGGGATCAGAAGAGTTTGGGGTTACTGAGTGGGGGATCAGAAGAGTTTGGGGTTACTGAGTGGGGGATCAGAAGAGCTGGGGATTACTACTGAGTGGGGGATCAGAAGAGCTGGAATTACTACTGAATGGGGGGATCAGAAGAGTTTGGGGTTACTGAGTGGGGGATCAGAAGAGTTTGGGGTTACTGAGTGGGGGATCAGCAGAGCTGGGGATTACTACTGAGTGGGGGATCAGAAGAGCTGGGGATTACTACTGAGTGGATGATCAGAAGAGCTGGGGGTACTACTGAGTGGGGGATCAGAAGAGCTGGGGGTACTACTGAGCGGGGGGAGCAACAGAGCTGGGATTACTAATGAGTGGGGGGATCAGAAGAACTGGGGTTACTACTGAGTGGGGGAATCAGAAAAGTTGGGAATACTACTGAGTGTGGGATCAACAGAGCTGGGATTACTACTGAGTGGGGGGTCAGAAGAGCTGGAGATTACTATTGAGTGGGGGGGGGTCCGAAGAGCTGGGGGGTACTACTGAATTGAGGATGAGAAGTTTTAGATTACTACTGAGTGGGGGGATCAGAAGAGTTGGGATTACTTCTGAGTGGGGGGATCACTGGAGCTGGAGGTGACTACAGAGCTGAGGATCAGCGGAAGGAGGGTACTAATGAGCTAGGAATCTGCTAAGGGAGGGTATTCCAACCCACGCCCATGCGCAGGAGTGACATCATCACCGCCCGGCCAATGAGAGCGGCCGACGACTTCCTATAACAAGGTGACCACTCTGTTGATTCTGCAGTAGAAGCGCTCCGCGGTGTTGTCACCCTGTAGACTCGGATGGATATTTATGGGTAGCT